TGAATCGTGATCCGCAGAGCTCATTCTCCTGAAGAGTTTAGGATTATAAGCATGAGCCATCAGCACCCAGCTTAATTTCTTGTTTTTTTTTTTTTTTTTAATCTATGGTGGCTCTATGTATTTTCTGACTCACTAAAAACACCCTGATATCAACAACAAATCATGTTCAGAAGACTTGAAGCAAATTCTGATATAAGGGAGATTTTAGCCTGGTCCTTTCACAGGTTTAGAATTGTGGCTTAAAGAGAGTTAGTTGCCACATGTTATTATATAATGCAGGTAATTTTTTTGTGTAAGGATACCACAGTGTATTCCATTCTAATGAAAATAGACATTTGGGCAGTTTTCCATTTGGTCTTTTGGAATATTGATGCTGTGTAAATATGGACATATGTTTGTATTTCCATTAGATATATAATACCTAGCAGTGAGATGATGTTCACTGTAGTAGGTCTAGATGCCAGCTAACTATCTGCAGTGGTTGGCCAATTTACACTGATCAGATCATATGAATGTTTCATTTCCTCCATATATTGCCAACACTTGGTATTGACAGTCTTTAAAAAGGGAGGTGTATACTGCTAGCTGGATTTTTAAGTAGAAAGATAAAATTATAATGCCAAGAACCTTTCTGTTAGTCCTGCTTCAATTCCCTTGTCATCCCTTGTTGATGATGGTGGAAGGGACAAGGCTTATTGAGATAGATTCCTGGACCACTAAAGTTTTCCCAGGGAGTCCCTGGTTCCCTTGGTTTGAGTTAGAGGGCTGGGATCTGAGTTTAAAACTATCCTAGGGAAGCCAGATGAACTGGATTGGGCTGGGTAGTGATATCCTCATAAGGGTGTCCCTTACAGCCCAAAAAGCAACTTTTATGTTCGTGGTTTGTCTTTGCCCCCATCTTCCAATTTGGGTCTCTCCAGGGAACAGGCACGGGCTCCTGGTACCCAACAATACCACTGACCAGGAATTGCAGCACATTCGCAACTGCCTACCAGACTCAGTGCAGATCCGACGGGTGGAGGAGCGGCTCTCAGCTCTGGGCAATGTTACCACCTGCAATGACTATGTGGCCTTGGTTCACCCAGACCTGGACAGGGTGAGGCAGCCCCACTTGGCCCAAGAGTCACACAACCATGGGGCTGGGAAGGTAGCTCAGCGGTAGAGTGCATGCCTTCCAAGAGTCACACAACCAGCCTTATTAGGGGTTAGCCACTGGTTCTTTCCCTGAAGCAAGAATTAGTTTCTTTTTCTATCTTTGCTCTCTCAACTTCACATACTTGTAGAAATAATGCTAATAAGGCCTTTGTAGTATGGTTAGTAATCATAAGATGGGGTAGACGTTAATCCGTTAGGATTGGGAGATTGGCTCATCTAGTATAGATGATTACAGTTGAACTGGAGTGGTGGGGGAGGGGGGAGGATATAGTATAGAGGAGAAAAGGCAGCCAATGTAGGCCAGCCTCTAGATGTTCTGGGCATGCCTAGGTGTTAGAGGCTCCCTAGCTGGCCTACTGTAAGCTGTATCCTCCCTAGTCTGAGAGAAGCTTCCATATGCAGGTATGTAGTGGAGAAATAAGGGCCCAGAAGCCAAACTCTTGAGTAGTTTTGGCTGAAGTGTTCTAGGCCCTGAGCACAGTACCTTTGGCCAACAGGAGACAGAAGAAATTCTGGCTGATGTACTCAAGGTGGAAGTCTTCAGACAGACAGTTGCTGACCAGGTGCTAGTAGGAAGCTACTGTGTCTTCAGCAATCAAGGAGGACTGGTGCACCCCAAAACTTCAATAGAAGACCAGGATGAGCTGTCCTCTCTTCTTCAGGTCCCCCTTGTGGTAAGCATTCCTACTCTCTGAACCCCATCTCCTGCCGAGGCAGATCTGTTTGCAGGTCTGGGTCATTATTATCTATTTTACTTTGGGATTGGAGCTGCCTGCCAGGGGGCAGACTTCTGGGAGCAGAGTCCTCACTGGGGAGGCAAGAATTTGGCTGTTGGTGCCTGGTGCCATGCTGAGCCCATCCTTTGGCAGGCAGGCACTGTGAACCGAGGGAGCGAGGTGATTGCTGCGGGGATGGTAGTGAATGATTGGTGTGCCTTCTGCGGCCTGGACACAACCAGCACTGAGCTGTCCGTGGTTGAGAGTGTCTTCAAGCTGAATGAAGCCCAGCCGAGCACCATTGCCACTAGCATGCGGGATTCCCTCATTGACAGGTAACTGGGGCCATTGTAGGGGCTCATTTTGCCTTTGAAGGCAGGGGAAGAAGATGCAGCCTAGGTTAAGCAGCTGCTAAGTAGTGATAGGACAAAGCCAGCAAACGTTTCTTGTGGGTCTGCTCATCTTCATTTGAAACACTCAGTTCTGTAGGCAAACTTTTCCTATGCTATGTCTTATTTGATCATTGACCATGTTTTTACAGTTTATGTCTGTATCAGAGAGACATGGACTGTTGGCTAGGAAAAATGTGGAGACTACTTAGTGGCTAAGTAGTCTTGAATGGTTGAAGGTGGATACCGCAACAAAATTTCAATCTGAATTTTTCTGAGTTAAAAACAAAAATGGATCCTTAACCCTAGAGATTTTGAAATGTCCTAATCATTTAAAGAACAAATATTCCTCCAGTTTCTGAAACCTGATAATACCTCCTAAAACTGTAATAAAATACTTATTTAACAATAAAACTTGAGGAAGTGTCATTAAAATCAGGCAGAATTGCTAGTTACCCACAATGACTGGACAGCATTTTCTGGTAGTCCTTACTTGTAAAATTAGGTAAGAGATGGATATTGAGAAGGAGGCAAATACTCACCAGCCTCTGGTTGGGCTGTGTTTTGTTTGTAGTGCCCATGAACTTCATGATGAAGATGCCAGATAGGCAACTAAGAAGTATATTACTCAGAGTTAAGATGATGATTATCAACTACATTAAGAATATTTTCATTTAATCCTAGAGAGTAGATCTGTCTTCTATTCTAGCCTTGTATTTGTGGCCTTTTATATTAACATTAATAAAAGAGCGTTCTGGAAAAGGGGCCAAAATTTTGGCCCCAGCCTGGCCACTTGTAGTTGGGCATGCCATTTTCTCTGAGTATCCTTGCCCTTTTTGCCAACATTCTATGTCACTCTGGTCAGTGTATGTGTGTCTTCTACCTGTGTGCACATCTGCATTACCAGCACTAAGGCTTGAACTCAAGTCCTAGAGCTCTTGCTAGGCTTTTTCACTTAAGGTTGGTGTTCTACCATTCGATCCATACCTCCACTCTTGGGCTTTTTGCCAATTAATTAGAGCCTCTTGGAATTTTCTGCCCAGGCTGGCTTTTAACCTCCATCTTCAGATCTCGGCTCCCTGAGTAACTAGGATTACAGATGCGAGTCACCCCACACAGCTGAAGCTCTAGTTTATGAATAACTGTTGAATAAATTGGCCCATCTGAGTGCATAGAGTTATTTTCTGTGCTCGCTTCGTCAGCACATATACTAAAAAAAAATTGGAACGATACAGAGAGTTATTTTCTTTAGGGGGGTTAGTAAGATTTTAACTCATGTTTTTGCACTTGCTAGGCAGGTATATCATCACTTAAGCATTCTCCCAGACCTTTTTGCTTTATAAAACTGTTCAAATAGGGTTTCAAATATGTGTATAAGCTGTTTATACTAACCAAGTAGTTGAGATTTCCATTGAGAGGTAGCATCTTGAGAATGTTTCACCTCGGCTGGCTTTAAAGTGAGATTCTCTGGACTTCTGCATCTTGAGTAGCTAGAATTACAAGTTAGAGCCACCACACCCTTCAGAAAGAATATTTTTACTCTGCTGGACTGTGACATAGGTTGTAGACACATCTGGAACTTGAACAGGATTAGGTGAGGCTGAGAGTGTACTTTCTGGGCTGTTCTTGAACAAAGGTTTAGGGGGTGCGGCAAGGTGTGCCCTGTGAAACATACTGACAAAGCCCCTTTTTCTCTCTACAGCCTCACATGAGTCACCTTTTATGCTGTTCTGCCAGTGCCTGCATCTGGACTTTGGCTCTCTATTCTTGCCTTGGCTAGTCTATACCAGATGTGGCAGGGAGGTGTGGCAGAGAAGTCAATGGAACTGAGTGACTGAGCGCCCAGCCCTTCTTCACTTGTGCCATCTCTTGAATCTTGTTACTCAGAAACCAGCCAGGTCATGCTGGCTCGTCAGTCCCTGTGGCTCCTAGATGAGAGTTCTGCTGGCTTTTGCCACCCCATTAAAGGGTATTAAATACCTCTCAACCTTTCCAAGTGTGTTGTTTGTGGGCCTCAACCTTGTGTAAACTCTTCCCCAACCCCCAACTGTTTCGAGGTCCTGGTAAAGCTGTGCGGGGTTGTCATCACCAGCTCTCTCCCTCATCAGGGATGAGACTTCCAGAGCAAGAGGAAGAAGCACCTTTCACCATAGTTCTCACACTTTTCACCCAACTTCTGTCATGGTTTTCTCTAAAAGATGATAATCTTTCCACTTTTTTGAGGGGGCTGGGGAGGAGGTTCGTCATGGGCTTTTGCTCAAGGCTAGCACTCTACCGCTGAGCCACAGCGCCACTTCTAGTTTTCTGGTGGTTAATTGGCCATAGTCTCAGGGATTTTCCTGCCTGAGCTGGCTTTGAACAGTGATCCTCAGGTGTCAACCTCCTGAGCAGCTAGGATTATAGGTGTGAGCCGCCAGCGCCCAGTTTTTCCACTTACTTCCTACCCGAGTCAGGAGGTCCCCGTAAGTGTTGGGCATCTCTGCCTCAGTGCATTCTTCTGTGACCTAAGGTGGATGGGGCCATTGTCTTCTTAGAGTGCTTGCTTAGGAGTCCTGAAGCTGGCCTGTGTGTCCTAAGTACCTGGGCAGTATGTGGGCGGAGCCTTGGAGCAGTTGGGCGGGATTGGTCACTAGCATTGTGCTCCCGCCCCTGGGCTTGGAATCCCTGGGTTCCATGGGTGGGGTGACGCCATCACGTTAGCGTGGGGCTCCACGTGATCTCCAGTGGTACGCCGCTGATCGGCTGGCGGGCCAGAGGTGGGGGGGGGCTGGCAGCGGGTTAAGGTGTTGCTGAAGCGGAGCAGACGGTCTTCCCATCCGGCAGACCATGGGCGCTCAACTGAGCGGAGGCCAGGGCGCCCCCGAGCAGGCGCAGCCCCCGCCCTCTCCCCCGGCAGGGCCGGGGCCCCAGCCCGAGCCCGGCCCGTGGGGGCCGCTGGAGGACGTGCGCTTCCTCATCGTCTGCACCTCCTGGTACTGACGCGGCCGCCCTGGAGCACGTGAGCTGCCTGCCGCCCCGCCCTTGAATCCTCCCCACGCCACCCTCAACGCTGGCGCCGGGAGACAGGGTCTTGGGGACTGGAAGTTCCCACAGAGCTGCCTCGGGTTTACCGGCTCCATCTGAACTCGACCAACCCTGAACTTCATTGCTAGCTTGCGCCACACGCAGCCCTTCGTGTTCACCACCCCCTCTCCAGCTGTCTGCGTGCTCTTCGGAGCTAGATCCCGGCCAGGCTTTCTGGGAAGAGCCTGAGGCCTATCGGACCCTCACTGCTAGAACTGAGCTCCTGCCTGCGGCCCAGGTCCCGATGCCACATGCAGTGACTTAGAGACTCTTTACTTAACGCGGCCGCTCCCCATCGGAGGATGTTTGAGTGATGTGGCAGATGATGCATCGGGGGCAACTCGAAGGTACCCCGAAGCCCCCTCGTCCCCCTGAATTAAACCTTCTCTTAGAACCCGTTCTTTGTTCTCATACCCCAGAGAAATGACACTCTGTGTATTTTTGTTTTATTTAGAAATGATTTAAAAAACATTATACAAAGGCTGATCAGTTTAAAATGTGACCGACACAGAAATGTGATGTTCCCCAGGCTGAGGGGGCTGGGCTCTAGGGCCCCCCAGCGCTCTGCCCCTCTCTGACTGCCCTGACCTGGGGCGATGGACAAACGGATGACCACAGGCAGGAGAATCTGTGATTGGAAGCCGCTAGGCTGAGCCCGCTCTGGGCCTCCCCCTGCATCCCTCACATCTGCAGCTTGGGCTGCCTGCCTCCATCTCCTGCTCTTTCTCAGCTGGCCTTGTACCGGGAAGCCAATAGGGGAGCCTGGGGAGCCTAGAGCTTTCAAGAAGTGAGAGCACCAACCTGAGGAGTGGAGAGGAACCAGGAAGAGGCAGGGAGGGAGGCCAGGAAGAGATGGATAGAGGAGACACTGATCTAGAGAAGTCCACAGATGAGACATAAGACCTAGCCAGCCCACTGGACGGCCCAAGCAGGTAATAACCTCTCTGTGCTTCATCTGAGGGCATGATAAAAGTTACCCTTGGCTTCCCAGGGGCTACATGAGTTCCATGTGAGTAGACAGGTGTGAGCTAATAAAGTGCTTTGCAAAGTATAAAACGCTGTACAAACCTATGAATCACTAATATCTCTGCAGTTGTTCCCCGCCTGCCCCAGGGAGCCTGCCCTTGGCCAAAATGAGAAAAAACAGAATGATGATAACAGGGGACACAGTGGAACTCACATGGGAGCCTCTGGGACAAGAGATTTTACTTGAGACAGTTCCCAGGGCAGCAAGAGTCCCTGTCTTTGCTACAGACTAAGCCAACCTAGAGTTCAGAGGCCACAGGGTAGGGACAAGACCCATGCAGGCTCAGAGGGTAAGGGTGGCATCTGAGACCCTGCCAGCACCCTGAAGACTGCCTGACACTGCTTTTTGGCTTTGGCAGAGAGCCAGTGGTCATCACTGCACCCTTTGGTCTTGCCTAGGGCTTCTCAGTGACAAGCAGGGCTGCCTCTGCTAGACTGGAGCAAGTCAAGCGGAGCCCTAGCAACTCCTGCCAGAAGTGAAGAGTGGGTCCAAGAAAGTAAAAAAGGGAGGCCCCTAGATTTGGGGCCGCTACCAGTTGGGGTACCCTTTTCCTAAGAACCAATGCATGAAGATGGACCCAGTAAGCTAGATTGCCAGAGCCAAGATCATAGCATAAACACTGCTTCTGGGCTGAGAGATTGAGTTGCCTCAGGGTTGCTGGATATGTGGGCATTGAGTACATCAGAAGGCTGCACCGTACTCCCAAGGCCATGACTGTGGTGGTCATCTCTAGAGCCATCTCTCTTTCACCTAACTAGTCAGGCCACAAGCAACAGGCTGGATGGAGCAGGGCTGGGGGCAGGGTTAATGGAGAGGGGCATGGAGGATGACCACGAACTTGGATCAGCCTCTGGAAACAAGGTCAGTTCCTGCCCCAGTTCTTGAGCCTCATGAGAGGGCCCCAGCTAATTCTGGGATGCTAGCATAACCTTAGCAGCACCTTGGTCCTTATCACCTGGGGGAAGGCCACCACCACACTGGCCTCATCACTAAGACAATCACCTCTAATTCATCTAAAGCCTTAAGCAGCCTTTGCAAAATGGGACTTTAAACAGTAGTGACAGGACATTTAAATATTCACGATATGACATCTGGGTCCTGGTTAGACCCAGCCAGGTCACAGCCCCGCCTGCAGCATGTGACCTTAAATCCTGGGTCTCAGAGGAAACTTGACAAGTGGAGCAGGGTTCCTGAAGGATCTGCTGTTTGCCAGCAGGAGAAACCCAGGTTTGTTGCCCAGCACGTTGGCAGCAGGGGTCCTGTAGCCTTGGAGGACAGTGGGGGTAAAGGTAGAGGGACATCTGACCAGCAGGTGTTGGCAGAAGGTGACGGGGGACTAGTGGCATCTCCCAGTTGGGGGATGTGAGCTAGTGCTGGCTTGCCACAGAAGGTATTGGGTCCTAGCCAGGACCAGAGCTGTGGTACAGTGATACCACAGGGTACAGTGACCATAGGGGCTCCTCCTGGTATAGTCCCTGCCTTCTGATGGGGCCTGGCCTATTCTCTTGAGGGAGTGGACCCAGGGCAGAAGGCTGGCCACTGGGTGCCAGACACCCACCCTGGGGCACAGCCACCATCACTCCCTAGCCCACACTCAGCCTAGACCAATGCACCCACCGCTTCAGCTGTACGACCCTGGCCTAGGGGCCTGCTGGACCCAGTGGGCAGTGGCCAGAGCTGCCCCTCAGACCCTGGTGAGGAAGGGCCTGGATGGCCGGACCAAGTGGACGGAGAGGGCTCTGGGCTACTCATACCCACTCCTGGACTGGCCGCTTATAGTAGGTGACAGGCTGAGGGCCTGCTTTGTTCTTGAACTGGAAGATAGTGTAGACGAGCACCAGGATGCAAAGAGACAGGATGCAGGGGATGACCACTGCCACAGCATTCACAGAGCCTGGTACGTCATTGATGGTCACCATGATGCCCACATCATCCTGGGGTAGCCGCCGCTCTTTGCGCCGCTCCACCTCCTTCTGATTGCAGCCCATCCAGTCACGCAGGATGTTGCGTGGGTAGCCTGGCTCTACGCTCAGTTTCTGGTTGTCAAACTTCCAGTAGTCCCGACCCTTGTAGAAGTAGGTGTAATCTGCAGAAATAGAGCTCAGCATCACCTGTCCAAAGCACTTGCTGGCACCGTTCAGGGTCAGTACAAGGGTATAGGGTGCTGTGGCAGTGTGTGGGAGGGGAACTCTGAGGGATGGGTGGCATGTGAGGCAGAGGGAGTGCACTGTTGGAACTGTGGAAGTAGGGTGGTTGCACTGTGGAGTCAACAACAAGCTACAGAGAAGGGGACCCATCAGCTCATAGGTGGTGGGAAACCACTGAGGAAATTTAAGTAGAACTGGGAAATGGTTCAATTTGTGCTGCCCAGACAGGACCATTCTCAGCCTAGAGACAGCTCTGTCTCATGAGGGCCAGATCAAGCCTTCCACTCTGCGCTCCAAGGCTGCCTGAGCCAAGGGAGCAAGATTTCTTCTGTTGACCACAGACACTATCTCTCCACAATTATGAACTATTTTTGACTTGGCACATAGTGCAACACAGGTGCAGGGTCTTTGGGCTCTTCTAGGAAGAAATGGGAAAGGCTGGAAGGAAAAGTTGGGCAGGTCTGCCAAGTCATTTCCTAGGTAGCCAGCTATTCCTAGGCCCTCAGCAACAGCCTGAGCAGTCCAGAGATAGGAAAACAACTCTCAGACTCTCCTCATTGGCTGGCTTTTACCTTGGAAGGGAATTTCATTGGTCAAGGTCCTTGATGTCACCTGTCTCTGAGGCTCTTCAAAAAGGAAGATCACATGTTTAAACCATCAGGTACACAAACTGACAACTGCTGTCCCCCGTGGCCATTGGCTTTAGAAGTAGTGAGCTTGACAGTGGTCTCTAATGTGACATCCTCTGCCTAGTTGCTATCTACAGTATTTATTCTCCTCCTAGCTTTTATTGCTGCTTTGTTTTCTGATGCTATAAGAACTACACAAATCTTGTTCACTGCTATATCCTAATCCCTTCTTCCATACAAAATGGTTCTCAGCCATTATTGTGGAGTGAGTGAGTGAATCCTGTCATTTTACATAAACCCAATAAGAAGGTGCTTCTGTTTTAAAAAAAAGTTAAAACTTACATAGTGTAGACATGTGCAGGCATTCTTACAAAGACATTATATTAAGGCAAATGCCATTATTATCTCCATTTTATAGAGGATACTGAAAAAACTGCTTTTCCAAAATTCATAGAAAGTGGTGTGGATAATCTGTGTGAACCCACCTACCCTGGCTCTAGAGTCTGCTTCTTTGTTGTTGTTGTTCGTTCGTCTTTTGGTCTTGGAGGCTGAACTCTGGGCCTGCGCACTGCCCCTCAGCTCTTCAGCTCAAGGCTAGTCCCTACCACTTGAACGACAGCACCACTTCTGGCTTTTTCTGCCTATGTGGTGCTGAGGAATCAAACCCAGGGCCTCATGCATGCAAGGCAAGTGCTCTACCACTGAGCCACCTTCCCAGCCCTGTTCACTTGTTTTTTGTAGCACTGGAGTTGGAACTCAGGGCCTTGTGCCTTGTGCTTGCTCCATCCTAAGCTATCCTTCCTTCAGCTTCAGAGTCTGCTTTTGACCCGATCAACAATTATGGATGCCTTTTCTGCACCTAGCAAGATCTGACCCCCTCCTATTGAGAGAAGCTCCTAGTCTGGTAGGTAGGGAGACAGATTATGAGTACCTTTGCTAACCGTCTTCCAGGAAGAGCTTAAGAAATATCTCATGGGCTGGGAAGGTGGCTCAGTGGTAGAGCGCTTGCCTTGCATGCTCGAGGCCCTGGGTTCGATTCCTCAGCACCACATAAGCAAAAAGGAAAAAGCCGGAAGTGGTGCTGTGGCTCAAGTGGTAGAGCGCTAGCCTTGAGCTGAAGAGCTGAGGGACAGCGCCCAGACCCAGAGTTCAGGCACCACGACCGGACCCAAAAAAAAAAAAAAAAAAAAAAAAGAAATATCTCATATTTTTTTTTAAAGCTTTACTCTCCAGCTGTCTGTCTTAAGCCCTGAAAATAAGAACCTTTGGGCAACCCCTTATTCATCATTACTTTTCAGATCTGACTACCAAGGAGCTCTTAGAGAACAGCAGAGGACCACTGTTTTAAAGGAATGAACTCAGCCCACAAAAGCATCTCAATTGTGAGTCATTCCTGCAGGTGAAAATGTGTGCCTTGGTAGCTGGAAAGCTAGTTAATTTGCTGTGTGAACAAGGACAATAGGGACAGCTGTCAGCCAGCAGGCTGAATTTCTTACACTGGATATCCTGAGAGTATATCTGGGGTATATAAAATCAGCTCCCCCCGCCCCCCGCCTCGCTGGCCCCTTACGTACATCCTTCCTTGCTGATGAAGG